ACTCATCTCAGCCAGCAAATATTTGCGGAAAAATGCTTGCATTATCTGCCCCAATCGGTCCCTGATGTTGCACCCCCACCCAGCAGAGATTGATAGCTGCAGACCCAGCCTCCTTCCTTTCATGAATGAAGATGCAGCTGTGTTTTCTTTGTGCACACTCCCTTATTGAAGTCTTTGAAAAATATTCTGTATAGAAACAATTCTGTCGACACATCAGTTTTCTCTGTGTTTTCCTCTTCCCCCTCATTCTTTACCATTAAGGACATTTGCATGAAAATGGGCGCAATATTTCTGAATCCATCACCTGGCATCTGGGTGTCTTCTGCTGCCCTTCCGATGAGGTCATTTCCTCCACGTATGATGTCACAGCCTTGGGGGCGATGCTGGAAGACAGTGGCTCTGGGGCAGCCCCTGGGCCTCAGCTCCTTACCCCCCTGGGACGGGCTGCTGGGGGTCGAGTACATGCGTGATGCAATGTATGCACAGTGCCCAGTGGGGCTGACATGCATGTGCATGGAGCAGAAACCTCCTCCTGGGAAAACACCTCATCTGCCCCATCAGGACCCAAAGCATTCAGAGATGGAATAGGAACTGCAGAAACACTCGCAGGATCGCCTGGTGCAAAGAGGTTTTCTAGGGAACAAAGCAGACCCGTATTTCTCAGCATCCACAGGTGATTTCTTTCTCACTTTCTGGTGTGGAGCTCTCCTGCTCCTGTGCTCTCCATCTCACCGTGAACTTTCTGCTCAGGAGAGAACGCACGCAGTGCAGCAAGCCTGAAGCCCATGGCCTCTCCCCTCAACCAGCATCCTCCCAGCAGACCTAACAGGAGTGTGGAGGCTAAAGCAGGGACAGGCATCAGAGCCCCCCAGACAGCACAAGAAAACTTGTCCCGTGCAATTGAGCAGAGAGCCCAGGTATGATCCCAGATCAATCTGATTTGGAGTAGGAATTTTTTAAATCTCTCATTACTGTCATGGCCTCAACCTTTCCTTCCTGTATTTACCGGATGGTGTTTTTCCATCTTATCTCCTTTCATCACAATCTTGTTTCCGCCTGCTGGAATCACTGCATTCCTGATCTAGATGCAGCTGAAACCCTGGGAACAGATGCTATTGTCAACTTTTATTAGGTTACTGCCTTAAGAAAGGAGGATATCGGTGCGGTCCCTGCCGCAGAGCGAGGCTCCCTCTCCCCGCAGAGCGCAGTGAGCGCCCATCACAGCCCCCAGCGCCCACAGTGACAGCAAATCGCTGCTGCGTTCAGCCGCACGAGGAGGCCTTCCTTCCCTGGACTAAGGAGATGAGAAACCCACCTGAGTGTTTGTGTTACCGCAGGTTTTTGTATTCCGCTTAAAGCGCCGCGCTCCCCTCCTGCCCGCCGAACGCCGTCCTTCCAATTACGCCGAGGTTCATTCCCTGGCCTCGTGCTTTGCTCCTTCTCTGTTTATGCATTTATTATTTACACACAGGCCTCCAGCTGCAACTCGCATGCTGGAAAATGCTCCTTCAGTGCTGTGTTCGGTGAAAGATAAGAGAGGCAGGAGAGCTGCCAGCTCTGTGCGGGGGGATGGAAGAAACAACACCCGCTGCCTTTTTCCTCCGCTCCTGTTGGGAGCTTGAACTCAGCTCCCAGGGGCCAACAGAAAGCACTGCTGAAGGCTGAGCACTCTCTGGAGCAAGGGATGCAGCAGCATGAGCCCATGTGGAGCTCTGCAGAAATGTTCTTGTTGGGTGCACAGCTGTGCAGCCGTGCCAGGACGTGCTGCAGCTCTGCCCCTGCTGAAGGCATTGCGCTGCTACTCTGGTTTGCATTGCTTTGAGAGCCACCAGGAGTGGCAGGTTGAGATTGATGCAAGTTGCAGCTTGCTAAGTCCTGTAATGGATAACCTTGTGGTTCCCGAGCCTTTCTATGGATAAGGAAGGCTTTGGGGGTCTTTGTATGGAATATGTACACACCTCCAGGAAGGCCTCTGAATGCGTGTAAACAAAAAGAGCTTTTTGTACAAGGTATGTGTGATAGGAGGAGAGTATCCTCCACATGTCCTGAGCTGATATTAAAGAATGCTTAATTTCTAACACTCCAACTGTCTTAGACAGGTTTTTGATCGACCACTTTATGGTAACAGGGTGAGGCTGAGCTGAGTTGGGCTGATCTCACTTTGGTGCCATTCCCCAGCCCAAAGAACAGGGAGGAATAACCCCGGAGCCGATGTGATGCAGGAAGTGGAAGCAGTGCTGGGACTGGGGCACCCACAGCCATACCTGAACCATGGGAAAAAGGAAAGAACGAGGGAAAGGCAGCGCAGGAAGGGAAATGTGCAAGAAAGCAGGCGAAGCTGTGCTTTTAGGGAGTGAGTTTGGTTTACATTTGATTATGCTTTCCTGGCAGACATCCCAGAGTGCTGAGCATTTTCTGTGCGTGTGCCCTGGGGAGGTGGGGGTGTGCAGTGGGGGAGCAGAGGCATGGCTGCTCCCTGCAACTAACCCTGGCCTGCACCCATGTTTGAGGGGCTGGAACCACGCTGCGGGTGCTGCTGAACCTGGGTGCTGCAGAGCGGGTGAGGCAGAGTCTGCCTTCCTCCTCATCCCCTTTGGCTGCCTGCTGGGCACTGCCTCTGCCCTGCCCTGCATTCCCATCTCCTGCTGCCAGCTGCAGGCATGGTCATTCCTGCACATCCCACGCCTGCTCTGTGCTGCTGCTTGTGACCACACTGCTGCTGCAAGGTAAAGCTCCAGACCCATTAGACTGGTGGAAATACTTTGCTTCATGAGCCTCCATGCCTGCTGGCTTGCATCTGAACCACAGCAAGTTCAGCAAAGAAACGACAAAGGCAACTTGTCAGAGCAATTTGAGCTGCCCCCATCACTCCCAGCATTCTACTCCTCTGAAGTCAGGTTTTGTCCTCCTACTGCATCTCCCCACATCCCATCTCGCAGCAGAACTCTGGCTGCAATTAAACACTGCCTTGGCTCTGGTGGCATTTCAGTTGAAAAAAATACATAGAGAAGGAAAGAGTATACAGAGATCATGTGAGCAGTTGCGTGGGGCTCTTTGCAGTCAGTGGATGTGTGCAGGCCCTGCAACGTGCAAAGCAGGAGCAGCTTGGAGGGGACAGCTGTGCCATGGCCTCACTGCAGCAGCAGTGAGGATCCTGTGTCCCCATCTCAGCTCTGCAGGAGTCACCTTCTGTGTATGAAATCACATCTGTAACCTGTGATCTGGGAAGTGTGCATAAATTCCATTTAGAGGCTGCATTCCAGCACGGCCTGAAGACTCCCCTTCCACCCACAAACTTTGGCTTTCCTTTGCTCTCTTTTCTCCTCTCTCGGTTTTTCCCCCTGGTGCTGATCTGTGCAGCCCAGGGGTTGGCAGAGTGGAGGCCCTGCAGGAGGAGGGAGGAAGAGGAGGGAGCTGTCACCTGCATGAGGGAACTGCAGCAGGGCCAGGGGCTGCAATGGGAGCTGCCTTGCTCTTATTTGTTGCAGTAATGCAGGGGATTTGGAACGAGCTGCATTGGGTAATGGGCTATAATTTGGTCCAGGTTTTCTGAATGCATTGTTGAGTATCCAAAAGTGAAAAAAGGAATGAAAACTCCAAGGAAATATCTGGGAGGAGGCAGAGAGCGGAGCTGAGTGCCTGCGTGCTGTCAGAGGCTCCTTTCTCACGGGGCAGCGCCTTGCATCATCCACCAGCTCAGCAAATTGCAGCTTAATCCTTTGTGGTGGCTTTGGGAAGGGATGAGGCTGGGAAGGGAGCGGGTGGGAATGCAGATTTCCATGAGCTGTGTGCACCCTTCTGCAGGCACCGGGCACGGCAGGCGTGGCAGTGCCTGGTCCTGACACATCAGCAGACATTTGTTCCATTCCCAAAAGAAGATCCCATGAAGCTGAACCATGGGATGGTTAAAGTCTTCTGCTGGCCTCCAAGTAGCCCCAGCACTCACATCCCCACTTGTTTCTTTTCCTGTAACTGACTCCTATACTGCCAGCTTTGGGAGCCCTCCTCAAAGCAAAGCAAGGAAAGCAGAAGTGGGGAGCCAGCAGAAGTGGGCTGAGCAAAGGTGAGGGGCTGGGGGTGTTCTGAAGGCAAGGAGCACATAGAGCATCCCCCCACACACACATGCACAAGGAACTATCGTGCTGCTTCTTGCTGCTTCCGAATGCCTGAGGGAGGGAGGGTTTCAAAGAGCTCATCCCAAGGCCACATCTGCTGCTGCTGCTGCATGTGTTTAAAACAACTCATTAAAGTTCCTGAAAGGCCTAAAAAATGAGTAATTCTCTAAATGAGCGAGTCTATAATAGCCCTCTAATAAGCTCTAATAGGAGACTTGTGTGCTGCTGAGCGTGCTGCCATGGAGTGGGCAGTGTGGGGCAGGATGGGACCAGCTGGGAGCAAGGGGACAGGGCAGGAGCAGGGGGTGACCCAGTGTCACAAAGTGTAAGCACTGAGAACTGGGACTGTGGTCTCAGCAATGTGGCAGTGCCACCGTGAGGGCTGGGTCCAGTGGGCAGAGGGAGCCTTCATTTTCCTTCTGGCTCAGACCCCAGCAGGGAGGAGGAGGAGGAAGTAAAACCCCTCAGAATAAGGCTGGGTGCACATCTCTCTGCTCACACCCACCCTACTGGCAGCTCCTCCATGGGACCGCAGTGGACTGAGATGTGCCAGCATGCGGTGACACTGGGAGGTGGCGCTGGGTGGGTTGGTGGGACCGCTTCCCTCCCCAGCATGGCAGCACGTGCTGCTTTCTCACCAAACACCTTCCCTTGCTGTGACGCCCTCCTGAGCATCGTCCGTGGGATGGATCTCCCAGCTTTCACCAGGGCTGGCATGCATTCAGCAATGTCCCACTGCATTGCAAGCGAGCAGATGACATTTCCTGGGCTTGCAAAGAGTTGGAACGTATCAGAAACTTCAGGATTCAAGATGTTCCTCTCTTGTTGTGAACAGTGTGTGCTGCTATATTGGTGAGATGATGTACCAGGCTGCTGGCACTGCTACATGCTGTGACATCATAGTGGGACAACTCACAGAGCTGAGCTGCACGTCCTGCCCCACAGCTCAGCCTTGGGGTGAGGCTGCTTCTCTCTTACAGGAGTAGAACATGGATGGGAAGCAGAGCCAGGCTGACCCGCAGAGCTACTTCTGCATGGAGCATGGAGCTGCTGGGAGGAACAGGACAGCTGGTAACTGCAGCCCCGCAGTGCCTTGGGTGTGACATTGGCTGTACGTTGTTTCTTACATCTGTGATCTGGGGGCAAACAGGGGCCTGAAGTGATGCCTGTCACGGAGAAAACATCATCAGGTAAAGAAGACCTAAGAAACAGGAGTGAAATTTTACCAAACACCCTGCAAGGCAGAGGAAGGAGATCCATCACTCCTGCTTGACCTCATGGGTTGCAAGTCAAGATTTCTTTCAAGTTGTGTCTAGGCTAGCTTTGACTCCTAAACTCTCGGGGCTGTCACTGCGGTGTTATTAAACAACACTTAACCCAAACCAAAACCTCCCCACTGCCGCCGGGGTGCTACCCTGATTTCCTCTTTCTGAGGTCACCTGAGCTGGAATTAGGACTCAAAAGTGAGTCAGACATTTCTCAGCAGTGTTCAGGGCTGTGAAATTGGTGGATGTATCAATTAGTAATCCTGCAGCGCCTTCTCCTTCTTCCGGAGCACGCGCAGCATTTGTGCACAGCCCGCAGCTTGGAGGCACGGCTGCGTCACGGCCGCATGTCAGCACAGCAGCGTGGGCTGTGTTTATTTATCCAGTTGTCTTTATTAAATTCCAGTTAGTCATCCAGGTGTCCTGTCCAAGAGGAAGGTCAGGGGGAGGAAAGGAAATGGATGAGAAACAGAATTGAGCCGGTGAGATATACAGATGCATCCTTTGTTGTGCTCAGGGATGCAAATGTGCTGCTTGTGGTCACCCGCAGGATGAAGGAATGTGGTGTGTGTGTGTGTGTGTGTGTGTGAGTGTGTGTGTGTGGGTACGTGCTGACAACACCACTACCAACAGCCGCAAAGGACAGTAAAGCTCTCTGCATACAAACTGGGCTGAATCTTTGACTGAGAACTTGAAGTTGAGGCCAGAGAAGTCTATTTGATTCCTCATCCAGAGGCCTGGACTGAAGTACTAGAGCTGACTGAGCTCCATCTCACAGCTCCCTGCAGGGGCTGGAGCACCTGATGCCATGTGGACAGAATGCAGCCATTCTCCCTTCCTTGTTAGGAGCCAGAGATGAGATGTTGCAGCCTCACTGACTGCAGGAGTGTACTGTTGAGGCTGCAGAGTGAAGATGCTGGGAGCAGGAAACGTGCAGGCTCATCTGCAGGATGCTGTTGAAGACTGCAGGTCGTTTTTGCAGACTGCAGGATGTGACTGCAGGAGACTTGTTCTCAGTTGGAGGCAGCAGGTTCCCACAGTATGGAGCTGGGCAGGCTGCTGCTCATCTCTGCCCTGCACTGGGGGTGCACCCCATGGGCACAGGGTGCAGGAATAAGCAGAATGCCGTAGGGCTGGAAGCAGGGGACATATCATGGAGGACCATGGTGATGGGAACAGCTTCTCCAAGCACGTACAGCACCAAGTTTTGTGTGTTCCCCAAAATTTGGGCTCTGACGAAAATTGGAGCCACAGATGCTGCTTCCACCCCCCCAAAAGGCAAGTTTCTCTGGAAACCAGGGAAGAGGGGGGAAATCCTCCCACGTCCCAGCTGCCCGCCCAGCTCATGGCTGCAGAGCTGCTTTCCTCCCCCTCTCTCACACCTCCCTCCATCTCTGCAATTCCCTTGGAGATGTTAGATCATTTTTCCAGCTCCTCCAGGTGTCCATAAAACCAGCCGCAGATTCCTCCATGGAGAGGGAGCAGCAGTGAGGAGGAAACTTGAAGCCATAGCAGTGCCCCCTCCCCATGCATTTTCCTGGGCAGAACCCCAACTTGGCAACAGGGAGGGGGCACCCAGGGCTGCCCAGGGGGCTGACTCAAGCAGGGACCCTGCAGGGGGGTGGCAGGTTGCCACATCGACTGGATCAACATCATGGGGCTATTGCTGGTGCAGAGCCCAACTGGCACAGCCGGGTCCAGCTCTCACTGCTGGGCTGTGCCCGGATGGTTTGAGGATGAGGTGGTGGTGGGCAGCCATTCACTGCTTGTGTTCGTCATGTCTGGAAACCAAACCACTGCATGCTGGGATGGGGCTGCGGGGGGTGTAGGGAGGGTGAGCAGAAAGGGGAGTGCAGAAAAGAGGCAATTTCTTCTTTTCTTCTGATTCCCCCCCCTTTTTTTTTTTTATTTTTTTGCAGGCAGAAATGATCTCATGTTTTGTCTAATCTAAATTCTGTCAAGCAAGCAGGGAGAAAGAAAAAAAAAAAAAAGGGATGGAAAGCAAGCAAGAGAAGACTACGCAGCTAATAAAAATCTGTGAGACACATGTTGCTGAGCTGGGACACCAGGAGGGGCAGAGCAGGGCTCTGTGCTGGGGGTGCACAGAGCACCATGGCTGCAGCCTCCCCATCCCCAGGGACACCTCTCCTCCCAAAAGGCAGCACCACGAGGGCTCTGGTCACCAGAGGGTGCTGATGGGTCTGGGTGTGCGGCTGGAGCTGGAGCTGAGGCCGTCTCCCTGCCCATCCAACTCTCCAACATTACCGAAGAGGAGAAGTTTGCAAACCTGTCAGGGCTTTTCCTTTGCTGGTCCTTCCCATCTCACTCTGACGGAGCAACCTCCTGGGCTGTGTGTGTGGAGGAGCCCAGGGGGAGGCATAGAAAAGCCTTTTCTTGCCGTTCTCACCCTCCAAAAAGGTTTTCATACTTTCTTGGAAATTAAATCCCAGAGGGATTTCATGGCCTTTATTCTGTTCTCCCAGCAGCCCCATGCAGAGGAGTTCAGGGCTGTGTTCAGGCAAGGCCAGGGGAGCAGCCCGCTGCCTGGGACACGTTTGGAGCCAGCAGAAAAATATCAAAATGAGCAATGGTGACTTTAGTTTAAAAGATGCTTTTTTCTCAGCCAAATGTCTTCATTGCCTGGCTGCAAAAACTGTTGTGGCGGCATCTGTGCTCCAGAGGAGCCTTTCTTTGCCTCATCAGAGCAGGGATTGCCAGGAGGGTGAGGGGCAGTGGGGCTCTGGTTGGCACATCCAGAGGTGGTGGTGGGGCTCTGTGCCACACGGTGCTGCTCTGGGTGCTCACCATGTGCAGATGGGTGCTCACCATGCACTCTGCATCCTCCCCCACACCATGAAAGGAGATACCTGGGAAGGGGCAGTGGGTGACGCTGGCCCAGAGACAGGATTTGGGTCACATGTAGGACAGGGGGAGAAGTGGTGGGGAGCAAGGAGGGCGATGTTTGATCGAGGTCTCCACACGAGGACCGTGCATTACATTTCCAGGCTACAGAAACCACACTGCAAAGTTCCCGTCGCGTTCCGGAGGGACGGAGCCGGGACCGGAGGAGCAGCGCGGCGAGGAGCCTCTCGGCGTCGATTAACAAAACAAACAAACAGCATCGCCCATAATGAGCTCCGGCTTCGGGCGGAGGAGGGGTGATAAAAGCAGGCTGCCAGGCGCTGGGGAGGGGCCGTGTCCGGCTATTGCTCTGTCCCCATCCAGCTCCTGTGGGGAGGGGTCCACTGAGCTCCTCCAGCGCCCGATTCAGCGCTCAGCAGCGCCGGGTCCGATTCCTCAGCGCTCCCCATCCCCAGAAAGGCTCTGACACGGCTTGGGAGCGGACAGGTACGGGAACGGGGAGGGAGGCACGCTGGTACGAAGGCCCGTCCGATTTCCATCACAAATGATCTACGGCACCCCTGGTGCGTCATAAAAGCCCGGCACATCCCCCGGTGCTGGGAAGGCCGTGGCTTTTCTGCCAAAATACAAAGCAGCGTAAGGGGCCCGGTGTGTCAGGCAGTAATGAAACCCGTCTGGGAGCCGATCGCTTCTTTATCTCCCCAGCTCCATTTTCCTGAGGACCACGTTTTTTAATTTGTGTTGGATAAACAGTATGGGATTGTGTACGCAAAGAAGCTCTAATTATCCCCTCAGGTTGTGTTTCCTTAAAGGAAATGAACTGGGCATGGCATTCCCTCTTGAGAAATGCACCAGCGCAATAGCTTCCAGATTTCTCCCCGTGCCACGAACAGCCAGCAGTGAGGCTGCACCGGCCTTGCGAGGCAGGAGGGAGAGGTGCTGAACCTTCAGAGGCCCCAGGAGCTCCTCAGCCCACTTTTGGGATGATGTGTTCCATCCCAATAAGCAACTCTGAAATGTGGGCACTTCCCAGCAGGCCGGACCCCATGGATGCAGGAGTGAGGCTGATACTCGCACAGCAGCAGGGGCAGAGATGCCCGAGCACACAAGCTCGTGCTTTCAATATCCCAGAGGAATCATGATCAGAAGCCACCAAGCTCTCTGCTGGGTCACCTTGCCCACACATTGCCTTTGCTACATCTCTGCCCAGCCCTGCTTCATCCTTCCCACCAGCAGCCTGAGCTGCCCAGGGAAATATTTCCCTGCATAAAGTGCCAGAGATTATTTAGCACTGCACAGGCCCAGGCCAGTTTGAAGCCATCCTTCAATGAATCACTGCTGGCCCCAGGAAATGCTGCTTGTCCCCAGAGGCCACGAGTGCCTCTCATGCCCCCCCAGTGCAGTCCAGGGACCCCAAACACCTCTTCAGTGTCACAAGTGCTCCTAGATAACCCCCGTGGGCAGATCATTTGCCCATGAGAGACAGATGAACCATGAATCTTCTGTATTTATCCCCGCTTCACAGCACTCAGCAATCTTTATTTACACTGCTGACAATTGCTTTGGGCTATTTTTAGGGTTTATTGCTGATTGTATCTTTAATGTTACGGGTAGTTAACTTGGCAGCAGTGGAGTTAATGCAGGAGGCTTTCACCTCCCCAGAGACCTGACATCAAGCCCTATTTATGGCGAGAGAAAGTGAGCCTGGTTCTTCCTCTTCTTCGCCCGCTGACCTCCATGCAGTCATAGAGAGGGGTGTGCAGAGATCCCAGAGAGGATGGAACCTCCGGGACGGCCCTGCAACAGGAGGCTGCTGTGCTGATATGTGGCTGTTCCAGAGCACACGGCATGGTGAGACGTCCTGCCAGAGCTGGGCCTCAGCACGGGCTGCCTGTGAAACAGCCCTGGGGTCAGGGAGTGGTGCGAACCAAAGCAGGGGAGCAGTTTTAGGGCCTCATGTGGGAGGCGTTTTTGTGAGAAGAGCCCCTGGCTGCCCCCAGCCATGCCCACCCTGCACCCCACTTCGTGAGCAGCAGCTCCGGGCCGTGTGGCTGCACAAACGTAACACAACCCTGCATTCCCTGCGCTGGGAACCGGCTTTACCGGAGGATTTAAATTCAATTTGTTTTATTGAAGTTTCTTTTTTTTCCCCGACCAATGCATCAAACTATCATTTTACTCAGATCAGCTGCTCTCAGCCTCGTCTTATGCCCTCCCCGCTCCCCCTCACCCCCCACGTCCCGCTGTCTGGATGAGCCCTCTAATTCTTTCTCCTCTTTCAAGCCCACCAATGCTTCCTGCAGCATGAGCCATAGAAATGCCACGAATTTCCTTTGTGTTGCTGCTTGGAGAAGGCAGGGGGGTGGGAGAAAAGCACAGCGCGTGGCAGCGCGAGGGCTGACAATAATCTCTGCGGTTTCTCTCCCAGCCCCAAGTTTATCCCTGTGCAATTCAGCATAGGAAAGCTAATAATGATGTGTCAGGAGGGCCCTGATGTATTTGTGTGGAGCTGCACGGCCGGGCCGGCGGTGCCTCCTGTGCTCCCACCCGCGGCTTCCTCCCGACCGAAGCCCCCCAGCCCTTCCATGCTGTTCTAATATCAGTGATTTGCAGGGAGGCCTCTTTTACTTTTCCACCTCCTCCCGCCCACCCAAAGGAGATGATCCCTGCCCTGGTCACCTCTTGTATTGTTAACAATAAGGCTGTGCTACTCCCGTCCACTTTCTGCAGCCTGCACGCCCCTCGGTGTTACAGCCAGATGAATGTGAGAACACCAAATAACCAGGCACTGTCCCCGTGTGCTACCAGCAGGTCCTCCCCTCTGCCTCCGCTCAGGGTGGGCTCCAACCAAAGCGTGACTGTGCCCCAATGTACGCCCTATGGATCTGTCAGCATTGGAAGCCATCTGTGGGGGTGGGAGCAGAGTGGGACGGCGCTGCTGGATCACACACATGCATGCTGCTTTGCCCTCCCATGCACAAGGCTGGGACACGGCGCCCATCCCTGGGGTGTGCAAAGCCCTGCACGGGGCAGTGCCACCCAGAGAGGTTTCGATGCCACCTGTGACCTCAGAATCAGAAAGGAATGGGAGTGAGTAATGAAATGCAGTTCTGTTCTTCCCAAGCAATGCATCTCTTGCTGCTTCAGTATTTTGGCTGCCTTGCTACACCAGCAGCAACACAGGCCTTATGCTACAGATGGTTTGTTCTGGGGAGATTCCCAAGTTACATCTTCCCTCTCTGCCTTTTTGTATGAAATGGAGCCATCTGTTTCTTTCTCTCTTTTCTCCTCGTACAAGCAGCTCTGTGCAAAGGCATGGTCCCTGCCTGTGTTATGGCCTGGGAGCAGCAACATGCGCAGGGCATCCTGCAGCCCGGCTCCTCCGGGTGCTGTGGGCAACCATGGGGGCTGCAGCACTCGCTCAGTCATCAATCACGAGAAGTATCTCAAAATAAACAATGCGAAATGAGCAGCCTTTCTTCTCTTTGGTCTCTATAGAGACCTCATATGATATACAAACAGTACAGACGATAATTTGTTGTTTCTCAGTTTAAGGTTTGCCATTACACTCTCTGTTTGCAAAGCAGCTTCTGTTCCCACCTATTTGTACCAAGGCTGCCGTGGTGTCGAGGTGCACATTTTTGATGCTGTGTGTGCAAAGGTTACGTGTGTGTTCGTGTGCAGCACTGCAAGCTATCCATGGCCGGGGCTGTGTGTGCATGGATGCACACTGGCGCACACGAGAAGCACAGAAGTGTGCCTCTGTATTTCCACATGCATGCCCACATGGATCAAAGAGCACAAGGATGCACGCTGGAGCTGCGAGGTGAATAGGACTGATTACCCATGCTTTGCAGGCACAGGTTTTGTGGGAGGGGCTGCAGGATGAGGTGAGCAAGAGTGCCCTGAGCCAGGCACGGCTGCTCTCATGGCACTGTGCACAGCAGTGCCTTTCCCTGCCCCGCTCTTCCTCTGCACCAGCCGTGCCCAGCATCCTGTGTGCTTCCCAGGGGGAACAACGAACAACTTCTGGGTACACTGCTCTTCTGTGCTGTGCTCTCCTGCTCCCTAGCACCTGCCACTTGCTGTGGAGAGTCCCCGCATTGTAACTGCAGAAACAATTATGTTTTCATTACAAAAGCAAATTAAGGCGGCTGCTTAATCGAGTTTATTAAATACCAATGA